AGAGCTTGTGACTGACCCAAGGTCACATCAGCAGGTGCAAGTGGAGGAGTGGGGAATCAAACCTGGTTCTCCCAGATTAGAGTCTGCGCACTTAACCACTACACCAAAGGAACAGGAGAAATTGATCAAGGAGCTGCATTGAGCCTCCCTGGTTCTGAGCAGGTTTGGAGCAACATCAGACCGAGTGCTGTGGCAGAGTCATTGGGATTTCACAATTTTGCATGGGTCAGGGGGGATAACGTTTGGGGAGGCAGAAGACCAAGCCGGAAGAAGAGCAAAGTGAAAAAGCTTCTGGTGCTTCTTCTTTGGCGAGGAGTGTTGTGCCACACGTGCCTTGAACCAGGCCTTGAAAGTTTTCCAGGACAGAAGGAGGCAAAGACAAATGCTTGATAGTGCAGTTGGGAAGTGGAAGCTTATCAATGGAAAACTGAAAAGCCCCTAGGTATTTTGCTGTAGCTTTGTCAGGGGACCCGAAACATGATATAAAAGGGACGTATAAATCAGATCATATGAAAAACTGTCAAAATGCTAGGTAATGACACTTTAGAATAATCTTGAATTGAATGAGCATGAGTGGGAATGTTATGTAAGCTGAAATATCCCGAAATATCCCTTCACGTGCAGCCAGCTGGGTGACCTTGGGTCAGTCACAGTTCTCTCAGGACTCTCTCAGCCCCACCTATCTTACAGGGCATCTGTTGTGGGGAGAAGAAGGGAAGGTGATTGTAAGCTGCTCTGAGACTCCGGGTAGTGAAGAGCAGGGTATAAAACCAACTCTTCTTAAAAGGAGACAGCCAGAAGGAGTAAAGGAAAGTAATTGCCGGAGTGGTAGTGGAGGGAGCTGCGGTGGCTCGAGTGGTTAAGACGCTGAACTGCAGGCTGTGGAAGATCGGTAGTTCAGCAGTTTGAGACTCGAGTGTGCCGCATGACGGGGTGAGCTCCCGTCTCTAGTTCCAGCTCCTGCCAACCTAGCAGTTCGAAAGCAAGGCATTGCAAGTAGATAAATAAGTACCACTTCGGTGGGAAGGTAACAGCGTTCCGTGCGCCTTGGTGTTTAGTCGTGCCGGCCACATGACCACGGAAATGTCTTCGGACAGCGCTGGCTCTTTGGCTTTGAAACGGAGATGAGCACCGCAACCCTAGAGTCGGATTCGACTGGCTTTCGAGCAAGGGAAACCTTTACCTTTACTTTTTAGTGGAGGGCAGGCCACTGGGGGGCAGTGCAATTGACAGGCTGCTTTGGCTCCCTGCTCTGGGACATGCAGGATTGCAGCAAAGAGCATGGGGCTGATCAGCAATCCCTCCCGCCCCTTTTAAAATACAAGCA